AATATATAGGGCTGTCGACACTCGGACTTCCCAAGCGGTCCCCCACCTTAGTACTAACCGAGCCTTAAGGCGCTTAACTTCGGAGTTCGAATGGGATCCGGTGTGTTCACCTTAGTATGGCCGACAACAAAACATAAAGATTTTATTGACTATTTATATATAGAATTCTTATAATTATTTTTCTTTTTATAATTTTTTTTTTTTAATTTGCTTGATTTGAACTACTTTCATTTTAATATTTATTTTTAGATTTATATTCATATTTTTTTAATAAAAAATTTCATATTAAGACATTATTTTATATAGTAAACTTTATAAAAGAAAATATTAAAATATAATTTAAATTACATAAAATAATAAAAAATAAAATATCATAATTAAAAATATAATAAATATTTTCAAATAAATGTACATAATATATTTTATATTTTAATTATCATCTTTTTAAAAATTAATTCGAAATAAAAAATAAGTTTGTTTTCCCTTTTTTCTATCTCCTTTTTTAATTTTGATTTAAAATTACAGAAAAAATACAAATGAAATATTAATATTTATATTTAAATATATTTATAATAAATTACTATTTACTTTCTAATATAAACATATTAGTAAATAAAATCACAATAACTATCATTATATATATTTTTTACTATCCGAATCACCAAATTATATATGAAATAATATATTATCTGAAAGACAAGAGTTATTAATATTTAAAATAACTTTTACATGAATAATTATCAATCATAAAAAATCAAATTTATTATCCAAATAGAGCTTTATTTTTAATATTTTTTTTCATTTTCTTATTGTAGTCATTTTATATTGAAATATTATAAATTATTAATATCTTTAATTTATTTTTAAAAATATATTTATAGATTAATTATATAAATTAGAAAATATAGTATATTTGAAAAATACTTATTTAAATTTTCATATAAATTTTTTTAATATCTTTTTAATTTTATTTTTAAATCCAAATAATTTATAAAAATATTTCTTCGTGTTTGTATATTTTTTCTTCTAAATTTTTTAAAAAATTTAAAAATATAAAAAAATTTTGTTAATCATTTTTTCTAAAGTATGTATTTTTAAATTAATATTAAATAAAAATATAAAATATAATATAATATATAAAATATAAAATATAATATATGATAATAAAAAAAAAAAATTAATATATATATAAATAAATACAATTAAAAATAAATTTAAAAATAAATATAAATATATGTATATAAATTAATTTAAAAAATATATATCTTTATTTATATTTTAATTATATATATATATAAGATTTTAATATTAAATAATCTATTTTATTTCTAAATATAACATTTTATAAAATTAAATTTGAATATTTATTAATTTCTATTAAAAAAAATACATCTTTTCAATTATTTAATACACTTAAATCTTTAACTTTCAAATTAATTCTTAATTTATGAAAAGGTTAAGGTAAAAACTTTTAAATATATATCATTTCATAATTAGGATCACATTCGAATTCAAAAGTCTTCATAAAATAGTACACTATAATTCTAGCTTCTATCTATGATATATGTTATCCAATACAATTTCTTTATCCTGAACCAAAGGGATTAAAAGTAAAAGGAATTTCATCATGTTTGTCAATCCATCTTTAAGGATTAAAAGAATGAGGGTCTTTATAATAAGCAGGATTTCTATGAATAGCATGGGATAAAATATTAACTGAAGTTCCTTTATAAATAAAAATGTCATTTAAATAATGATCTTTTGTTGCAATTCTGCTTATTAGATTATTTGATGGACCATAATATCTTAATGTTTCTTTCATAACTGCATTTAAATAAGGTAAATCTTGTAATTGTTTGAGTTAATTATCTGTATTTTCTAAAATTTCTTTTTATATCTTTTCTTTGAATTCTTTATATTATGTTAAATAATAAATCATCATTCCTGATAAATGGCCTGTTGTATCCATTCCAGCAACATAAAAAGTACAAAATTCATTTACAATATCATCTAAAGAAAGTACTTTTAAAAGATCTTTACTTTTAAGATAATAAATAAGATCATGTTTTGTACTTTTTTTTCCTTATTTTTCAAGTTCTTGTTCTTCTTCTAATCTTTCTTTTGCAATGTTTTTAATAAATTCTCTAAATTCTTTAATTTATTTGTTTAAAAGTCTATCTTTTTCAGTAAGTCCTAATTCATATATGAAATTCCCAAAAATCTAATATTTAATGTCTTAAAATTAATAACCTAAAGTAGTAAGTAAATATGTAAGAGATTATGTAAGAGTCATTCCATAGAATCTTTTTTCTTCAAAATTATTACAAAAAAAAGATTAAACAACAACTTCTGCTGTAATTTCTTAAAAAAGTTCAATTACATCAACATTTTATAATTTATTTTATCTTATTAATTTCAAAAATGTTTATTTTGTTAATTTTTCAATTGTTGGAATTCTTTAATGTAAGGAATCGAAATGGAATATTGAAGATATTGCTATTCTATTATTTTTCCATTTTTATCCTTTTGAAAAAAGTATTCCTTCTCCCATTAATCTTTTTATAGGATTTATAAATAAAGTATCTTTTCATAATATTATCCTCTACATTTAAAAGGCTTTCATTAAATAATTTCTACTATTCCACATTTATTTTAGAAAAAAATTCTGTACATATACTCGACTATTTTTCCATCATCATGAATATGCTTAAAACAGTAGTGAACATCTTTGTATACGTGAATTCTCTTTTATATTTCAGCCAAAATACCCAATATTGGATAGAATTTGCCTTTTCCGAATTTCACATAGTAACAAAATCTTAAGTAAGGAATTAAAATAAGTTTTATTAAAAAATACAACAATAAAGCTACAAAAAAATATATTATTATGTTAATTATCATTTTTGTTAATTTTTATATGATTAATATTTAATTTTTAAAATAAAGAAAACAAATATTAATTTAATTTTATACTAATAACAAAAAAAACTAAAATTATTTTAAATTATACACTACTCTATTTTAATAGCAAAATTAAGAAATAAAATAATTATAGGTAAAAATTAATTTAATAAAAATAGACTATTTAACAAAAATATTTAATTTTATGAAAACTTAAATATAATAATTAAATCTTTTTTTTAATTAAATTCATAGAAAAATAAAAAAATAATATATATATATATATATATATATATATATATATTTATTATATTATATTATTTTGATAAATATTTTCACGCATATATATATTTTTTATATTTTTGAAAAAAATAATTAAAATTAATAAATTATTATTGAAAAATAAATTATATTAATTTAATAAAAATAAATATTAACTTAAAAAAAATAAATGATTTTTTAATAGTTAATTTTTAAATTAAATAAAAAAACATTTTTAATTTAAAAATTATTAAATAATTTATAGGATGTAAATTTTTTATATAAAAATTTTATTATTATTTTTTTTAATATTTTTCAATTATTTAATAAACTTAAATCTTTAACTTTCAAATTAATTCTTAATTTATGAAGAGGTTCGTATATAAACCTAATAAAATATATCATTTCATAATTAGGATCACATTCGAATTCAAAAGTCTTCATAAAATAGTATATTATAATTCTAGCTTACATCTATGCCATATGTTATCCAATACAATTTCTTTATCCTGAACTAAAAGCATTAAAAGCAAAAGGAATTTCATCATGTTTGTCAATCCATCTTTAAGGATTAAAAGAATGAGGGTCTTTATAATAGGCAGGATTTCTATGAATAGCATGGGATAAAATATTAACTGAAGTTCCTTTATAAATAAAAATGTCATTTAAATAATGATCCTATAATGCTCTTCTAACAAATGTTAAATTTCCAGGCCCATAATATCTTAAAGTTTCTTTCATGACAGCATTTAAATAAGGTAATTCTTACAATTATTTGTGTGAATGATCTGTAACTTTCTAAAATTTCTTTTTATAGCTTTTCTTTGAATTCTTTATATTATGT